ACCTCTAAAACATAATAAAAGGCCATGTTTGGCGGTTGTGATTACAGGGCCGGATTAGAGCGTGCCAACCCAGCAAGGGTTGCTGGGATTTACATCTTATTAAACTGTTGCCGTGCCGCTGTGATTCAAACGAGACCGCCGGGGGAGCAGTTTGACTTGAATTTGCAAATAACGGCCACATTGTGTCACATGGCTCCCCCCACCTTGACATTACGTAAGGTGCACAGTCATGGCAGTGGTTGCCAGCGGTGTCGAAAGCAAACACTGACCACGCTGATGATCTCTGGACCACCGAGCCAAGTCATCTCAAGGGTAAAATATTGACAGATTTTTAATTTATCGCTGCTTATTATTATAGATGTTGTATAATTGCACTGCTTCATTGGCGACGTTCACACTGCAGGGCCTGATTCCCAATTCAGAGTTTTGCACAGTGAATACATTACAAAAACAAGTGCGACTTCTAAAAGCATCCGTGAAGTGACCCGTATGCACGCATAAAACAACGTCACGTGTTGAAGTTGCATTGAGAGAGGAATGAGGCGGGAGGAGGCAAAAATATTTTGGGGAATTGACACAATGCTCCCTTGATCCTCTCAATTCATGGAGACGTTTAGAAAAGAGGATGTCACCTCATTGTTGCGCCGAACTAATGAAACGTTTTTTTGGCTCAATTATTACCATCACCACAAATGTCCACTTTATGCTTTGCTTTATGTTCCAAGTGGGATGAAACTAAATTCAAACATAAAATTAACACTGTTTCTCTTCATAACTTTGCTGATGTAAGGAAAATCATGAGTCGTCTGCCACGAACTCTCCCCCCGTCCGCTTGGAGCGCATGTTTGGCTTTTGATGACACGTAGGTCGCATGACGGTGACCTGAGCAGCCGCATCAGATACACATCAAATTTACATGAAATCTATAGCCACATATTAAAGTGTAATAACATTTTTAAAAAATGATATATTAATCAATATACCTTTTTAAAAAGCGTCTTGTAAGTTTGTCAGCGTCTTATTTTGGGTTGACAAAAAAAATAATTATATATATATATATATCCCTTGCAAACAAGCGGTGTTCTGCTTTATAATTGCAGTATCACCATTCACCACTAGATGGCAGACATTATTTAGTCACACTTGCACCGGGACTTATACTGACCTATTGTGCAATGTGAGTAGGCCTAATATTTTTTGGGGAGAATGACATGGACAAACTAAGTACCTCAGTAATCTTCAAAGTTGCTGGGAGTTGATTTTTGTGGAAAAAATAAGCACAAAATGAGTTCTTGCACTTAATGTTGGTTTGCTGCTCAGGGGTTTTGCGCTATCCTTGGATGCTAATTTTGATGCAAGCCCTTTAAACTCGGGTGGGGGTGGTGGAATCGCAGTATGTGGTTATTTTGATGTTTGTTTCAAACGCTTTGTTGTTGAATAGTGGATTTTTTTTTCACGCATGAGAAATGTACTATGAAAATTGTCATTTCTTCAGAGCAACGTATGCATGTATGTTGTCCACATTTCACGTTTTGTCATAAATCCGGTTTGGTAGTTCGTGGTCCTTTGTTGAAAACTGATGAACTGATGAAACCCTCCATCATTTAAGTTGCCCATGCCTGATTTACAGTCGAAAATATTACATTGCTCGATGAAAATAAATAAAGTTCCTAAAACAAGTCAGTCGCAATACCGGCAGCTCTCCTGTCTGGTAAAAGTGCAAAATCTGTTTGAGGACCATGCTGCAGCATATCTGCACATGCTCCCACTACCACTTCAACACACACACACACACACACACACACACACACACACACACACATGCACGCACACACACACACACACACACACACACACACACACACACACACACACACACACACACACACGCTACCTTCTTGCATGTGACCAGTTCAGCGGTCCTTGGGGGGTTTTCCTACTCGCTGCGCTCTCTGTCTGCCTTGTGGGAGTGCAGATGGGGATCCAGGTTGTAGGCAGGCAGCTGACTCACTCTCAGGCTGCACGGCGCTTGTGTGTGGCTTGATGTTGCCTCTCAGGGGAGCTCTCTTTTATACCGACATCAGTGGAGTAACGCTTTAATGCTTAAACAACTTCGAATTTTTTTTTTTTTTGCGCTACTGCTGCTGCCGAACATTGAGCCTCTCTCTCACTGCTGCTTAGATTCCTTGTAAGCCGAGTGCAACTATAAAAAAAAAAAAAAAAAATCAGATTTTAAGCAAAGAATACCTCATATTATATCCGTAAATAACTTAGTGACAGTCCTAATATTGAAATGCAAATACATTGAAAATGCCGCTACAGTGAAAATGCTCCATTTTGTCTGGTTAGGATTATATAAACTCAAGACTTGACGCCAGTCAGTCAATAGGTGACCTTTTATTTCAGTGAAATGAAACCTGGGCAGGCGCAAATTATTTGAGGGGAACTAAGATAGCTTTTCTGACAAAGTAGCAGAGTACATCAGTAGCTGCATTTTTCTTCCGGTATGACTTTGAAGTCAGAATAGATGGTTGGATGAGCGCCAGCTCCTCGATGTTAGCATGTTGCTGGAATTGCACTTGCTCATTTGTTGAGCGTTGTCTGTAGTTTGTTCTGTACGTTAATTCTCCCCCTGCTGAATACAAATTACGCCCGGCTAATCTCTTCCTTGGGTTGTCACCCCGAACAGCATTCGATTGGCTTTTTACTGCATTAATTTTCCATTATTATTATGGCTACCCTTTGCCACAAGCGGAGTTGCTCAACGCCTCGCACGCATACAATCGTAGTAAAGAATGTCACAGTAAATGTGTCAAATTGAAATTCCGCTTTTATGAGTGTAGGCGTATTAGACTTAGTTTCACCCTCCGGAATTATGTTGTGAGCTTGATGGAAACAGATGTTTGCAGAGAAAAGGAACAAATGCTAATCAGAACTGGAGGCATCGCGCATCGAAGCTGGCATTGTGAGTGCCGAATACCCTCCGACACATCGTTGGGTTTTTTTTGTTGTTGTTTGTTTTATTTAAATTCCTGCCAAATTCCGCTCACAATTTCTGCCCTCCTTTTATCAAATTCATATCCATCTGGCTGTGAGTCATGAGCATGTTTTCGGCAACTGAACTGTTACTATGGTTACCAAAAAAAATTCATGTTTTGTTAAGTACGTGTTTTTTTTTTTTTTGGCTGGACTTTTGACATTCTGTTCAAGTCAACTTGCCAAATGACAGAGATCACAAGTTTGGGGGAGACTGCATTTCACATCGACTAAAGCCGAGCGACAGTAAAAAAAAAAAAAAAAAAATGAGTGAATTCAAAACTCTCCAGCATGGTTGCCTAGCGGCAACCCTATCTGCCTCACAGTTAGTCGATCCGGATTCTCATCGCCAAAGTCTCGCCCAAAGTCATTTGGGAAAGACTCCAGTTCAAGTGGAAGAGAAAAAGGATGGATGAATGGATAGACATCCAAACTGCAGGCAACAATGACGGCAACCCCTTTCCCTCGAGGCACGAAAAAGTCGGGAGGTGTGCCAGACTGAGTTCGAAGTAAATGAAAGCGTCAGAAGGAGTTATTGCTTCATGTCAGTAGGAGGTGCGCCTATGAGTCCCGTAAAGGCCGGAACTTCATCACATGCGAGGCGTTTGGTCAAGGTCTGACCTTGTGGGGTTGAGTTATCCGATTTCTGTATTTTATGGCGTTTCACCGGCACGATGCATGACGTGCAATGACAAAAATTCCATTGCTGCACCATTTGGCATCGCAGATCCTATCAAGTATTTGTCGTTGAAATTTGAGCGCAATCAAATAAGTCTGTCATCATAGGATCTCTGGAAATGACCAAAAATGACCCTAACATGGCTCCCTGTGTTTTCTTGGGCATGGGTTTTTGAAATTCTTTTGCCACTATACTTTCAGGTTGCTAATTTTGTCCAAAAATTGTGACTTTTACCCTTCATGTAATTTTCACAGAAAAAAACGTTTTTGATTCTGGGAAATAGCTCACAGATGGCCTCAGACTAATGACTAGGAATCAGACTCTTAAAAAAAACAAAAGCAATTGTAAAGTCGAAATGAATTTGTTGTCGGACTACGAAATACTTTCTGCTCGGACAAATCTGGAGTGACTTGGAAAAAAAACCCAGCAGATCAACAGCATCTTTGTCCCAATTTCCTCTACCGATCAAGGACAAAGTGAATTTGAGGTTGTTCCTTTTTTATTTTTTTCCTTTCTTTTGTTTACAACTGACAGGCTTCGGGGGAGGTTGAGAAGAGTATCTGTGGTCCAGGTGATTTGTCATTAGATGAAGTTCATTAGGGCTGTCAGTGTGTTGTTGGGCTGACTACCGATGTGGAACTGGAGCGTGAAGGAAACCCAAACACACACTGCTACATGTGTAGCTTTGGCGGTAACACCAATGGGATCCCACTTCATGAACAATACTGCAATGTTTCCTTTAGGCAGCGAGGTGGTTCCCGGTGGAATACTACCGGCTGATGGCATTCCAAAGTGTCAGTCATTCAGTGGTCTGTCGGAGAGGTAATGGCGGTCTGACTTTTCTTCAAATGGATTTTGGGAGAAAAACAAAACAAAACAAAATGTGTGTGCTCTTGAATGTCCCGCTCATCCAAACTGAAGGTCGGTTGACCTCATTTTCTCTGTCACAGCAATATCTGCTCGGGATTAAAGGAGATTAGTCGTATTTCCATTCCTCCCCACCCACCAATGTGTGGCATTTTCTGTAACGTGCTGTTAATAGGCGCTTGATTTGTAATTTAACTGTGCAGGCTAGTTTAGGTATTCAAAAACCTTCAATGTCCCAATGGAATAACCGTACAATGACACATAGCAGAGAAATACCAATTTAACAGCGGAGACACTGTTGATTCCATATCAACTATTTTTCCAAGCGGTACTCCAATTACATTGAATTTCCTTTACGCTCCCTTGGTGTTTTCTCACCCTACCTACTGCTCTAACAGTCTTGTCCTCTTGTTTTCAGCTGGGTTTGTGAAGTCGCCGATGTCCGAGACGAAGCTCACCGGGGACACATTTGAGCTCTACTGCGACGTACGCGGTAACCCCACCCCAGAGATCCAGTGGTGGTATTCCGAAATCAACCGAGCAGACTCGTTCAAGCAACTGTGGGACGGAGCCCGCAAGCGCAGAGTGTCCATCAACACGGCCTACGGCGCCAACGGTGTTAGCGTTCTGGGCATCACGCGCCTCACGCTGGAAGACTCTGGGACCTACGAGTGCCGAGCGAGCAATGACCCCAGGCGAAACGACCTGCGGCAAAACCCCGCCATCACCTGGATTCGGGCCCAGGCCACCATTTCGGTGCTACAGAGTGAGTAGTGCATGTCCTTGAGATGAGGAATGAAGCCGTAATCTTCTGTCCTAACCACTCCATCATGTGCGGTAAAATGTGATTGTCTTGCTCGGATATGTGACGGACGGATGTCACAGAACCATCATGTGCGGTAAAATGTGATTGTCTTGCTCGGACGGATGTCACAGAATAGCAGTGATATAAAGTATGACCTCTAAAATCCCGATACGATCATTTCATTTTTCTTTGGTTTCCCTCTCTCGTGAGCCTTTAAATATTTATGGCATATGTTAACAAACGTAGGGATACTGTTGCTATCCACATTTTTGGACTCCCTCTCCCATCCACGTCACTGGCTTCTCTTCTAAATACAGTGGTACCTCTGCTTATGAAATTAATTGGTTCTGGTAGAAATTTCTTAACTAGAACATTTTGTAAGTAGAGACACGTTTTCCATGTAAATGCCCTAATCTGTTCCAAGCCCCCCAAAATTCAAACCTAAATGTTTTCTAAAGCATAAAAAAGCATCGAAATATGAAACAAATACATGTTACAATCAGATGATTGCACAATAAATGACAGTTGTGCACAATGTAAAAAACAAAAAATACAGTAAAGAATAGAAATGATGGTCATTTCACTTTTAACTGCATCCTCATCGTTTTTTGCCCTCTTTAGTTCATGTTCTCTCTCAGAAGAGGTTTTTGCTTGCCGTTTTGTAAAGAACTGATCCAAGTACATTTGCTTTCGTCGGCTTTTAACAATCCTTCGAAAATGTCCAAGGCAAACATCAGCATAGTGAGCGATCACCCGACTGGTGAACACTTTTTCTGGGTGATTCGTATTTACGTAAAACTATCCGAACGCCTCATGGCCCGACGGGCAAAAGGCGAGGATGCTGCATAGACACATATCAATCGATCTACACACATAGATACATACGGTAGAGGTTCCTCTTAGCCAATGGAATGCCAGGATGATGCTCGGTAGTAGCCAATGGCAGAGCAGCTGTAAGTATGTTGCGTTCAGGAAACTCGGAGCTGTGAGTAGCAGCCCATACTGTATTTTTACCTTTCGTATCTTGAAATTTCTTTCATAACAAGAGGCAATATTTTCCTGTTGAGGCGTTTCGTAACTTGAAAATTTCGTATGAAGAGAAGTTCGTAAGTAGAGGTACCACTGTACTAATTTCATCGATTCACTCTTTCTGATTGTAACTGTGACTGTCATTTTGGTTGCTTCTCTTGTATTGCTTGGATTGTTGTCTTTAATAGCATGCTAATCCCATCGTTCTTTTTTTCATTTTTCCTACAACCTCTACATTCAAATTTGATTGAGAATCTAAGGCAACACGAAGGGACATTAGCGGTCAGCCTCTCTCAAAAAATGATATCATATTTCAGCCCTCGAATGGGGTGGTGATCCAATAGAAGAACCAGACCCCATTGGGTGCTTCATTTCACCTTCGGATGAGACGCATTTTATTTCCATGAAAGAGTCTCCCTGGACTTGCCTGAGCATAGTGTAACCTTCTCAGACAATAAGTGTGTGACTGTGAATCAGTAATGACATTATAGGCCCTTAAACCCTCTACTCTGTGCACACAAACAGTCAAACAAACCGAATGCTTAAGTGGACCTTTTTAATCTGTGCATGCTCGACCGCTCGGCCCACTGAAGCACAGAGAGACTTAGAAGGCTGTTAGTCATCGTGAGCGTATGCCAGAGAGGCTGAAAAGTTGTCAGATCCTTGCCAGTGCTTCTGACAAATCTGGATGTATATATTTTAACATCATTTGATTTGGGCGAAGTTCATTCTTTTTAGCATACCACAGACTGAAAATGTGCACACTCTGTTGTTACTTCATAAGAAAGCTGCACATACAAGGTTTCATCCACAGCTATTGAAAAGGACGTTACTTTGACTTGAGCTGGAAAGAATTTGAATATAAATAGCTAACCTCTAAATTCCGAAATGATCTGTTTAAGGATTTCCTATCAACCTCCACTTTGTCTCAATTTCTCATAGTTTTTTTTTCCTTGAGACAATGTTCAAAGTATCGTATTTTCCACACTATAAGGCACCCCTAAAAGCATTCAATTTTCTCAAAAGCCGACAGTGCGCCTTATAATCCGATGCACCTTATATATGATTCGATATTCTGATTTCTGGGATGTCGTATTTTAAATGTTCTGTCCAGCTGCAGCGGTTGTGAAAGTTCTATATAAACAAAGCTGTAGTGCATTGGATTCCCTTTAGTGTAGCTCCATCTAGTGGATGCATAACGCAACCACAGCCACTATTTTTAGCTTCTATTCTATGCGCCTTATAATGCGGGGCGCCCTATATATGAAAACAGTTTTAAAATAGTCCGTTCCTTGAAGGTGCACCTTATACTCCGAAGCGCCTTATAGCGTGGAAAATACGGTAATATTAAAAAGGACAATCTTGTAACTGTCATTAGTGTGCAAAACATTAAAAGCAATAAATTGGGTAGTCAACCTTTGATGCCATCGTGGATGTATAGCGTCTGAGCATAAGGTAATTCAAGAGTGAGTTGAAGAGCCTTAAGACTTCGCATTGTCTTTTTTGAAAGATTGTTAACTGCGATATACCGTATATACACCGTTTGATGGTCACTGATTCAGAGGTGAAAGTACAGAGGAATTACTGCTTGTCCTTAAGAAGGGAATCACATTGACACTAAATACAGCTCAATTAGCGAAGTACATTCTGTTGTTCTCTAATTATTGCGACTTCTGTTCTCTGCTTTTTGTACTGAGCAGCAAAGACAAAGACTACGTTAAAATCTGACTTCCATTTCTGGGTTACTTTTCCATTGCTCATGCAAACTCCTTCAGGAAGCAAGAATATAATTCCAACATACATACAACACACCAGGCAGATTCTCAATGTACATTTTTCAAAGATTCCGGACTCGCAAGTGCGATGACATTCCGCAGAGCGGCTTTTCTCGCCTCTTTTTGAGCCAACAGTGAGTGAGTATTAGCGGTACATGCGATAATACACTCGCATTTTGAGTGGAGTGCCACTTTCATTAACTCAGTGAGTTACACTCTGTGCTTCAAATCACAGTAGTTGCATTTAAGAGGGACCATTTTGTGGAACTTAATAAGCTTCTAATGGACCTGATTTTCTTTTGCAACAGAAGACTAAAAATCCCTGTTAGGAACAAGCAGTGCAGACATTTGGTTCACTGTTCTCTATATGTCAGTCATTTCATGGCAGGGGTGTCATAATGCCCTCAACCCTTTTCATTTAAATGGGTTTTGTTTTGCAGCACGCCTACCTTACAGTCAGGAGATCAGGCTTCCAATCTCTATGAGAAGTCCGCATCTTGTCACCGTAATTTTATCAGTTTTTTTCGCTGGGTACTTTGGTTTCCTCCCACATCTCCAAAACATACGTGAGGTATTCTGATGATGCTAAAATACCCGTAGGTGTGAATGCCAACGTGAATTGTTGTTTGTCGACATGTGCAATGCAATTGGCTGGCTCCCAATCCAGAGTTTATGAGTACGTATAGCCTGCCTCATGCCCACACCGCTGGGATATGCTCCAGCTCACCATCCACCCTTTTAAGGACAGGCACGAATTGATTATTTTGATTTAGTTTCATGCAGAAAATAGTGTGATATAGGGGGAGAGGAGGGAACGTGTTTCCCCTGCCTATTTATAGGGCACATTTTATCTTGAGCTTCGCGCATCGTACACATAAAGTCTTCAGCGTTGGCTATTGACAGGGCATCCTTATAACAACCCTGTGTGTGAATTGCCTGTGGACCACTCTTGCCGAGTTGGCTAAATGTTAATTTATGTACCTCATGTTGTGTCTGTATGCATGTCTTGAACGTGCTATTAATAGAACATGCTTGGCTGGGGGACAAGCGAGGGAGGAGCGGGAGTGATTTCCCTGTAGCTAGTGTGGCATACAGCAGTGCGGGAAGATGGTGCTGTGAATGCTAATAGAAGTCACTAGCTAGTCATCTTTTGCCGACCGGCTCGTGGCTTTGCAGGAATCAGTTGCGTCACGACGCTAGGACGCTCTACGCCTCCCCCCTTCAGGGGTTTCATGACCGTCGTGGTGGGTCTGCCCTGGAAGCAAGCCTCCCTCCCACTCAAGGCGGCGCAGAGGACAGACACACTCTGCCCTGAACGTCCTTGAGAAATGAATTGCGGAGTGACCAGGGATCGCTGTGACTTGGAGGGCAAAATCATGCAGCACAGCAGTAATATAGAATGTCAGTGATGTGTTTGATGTTACATCTAATTTAGAGCTCATTTTCCACTGAAAATTTGCCAAAACAGGTTTACAGCGGTGTGTACTACAAGATTAAACATCATAAATCAATTTAAGGTGGCACACGGTTTGTGACACAGTTCCATTAGTACAGCGGCACATGAGCCCAATTGGTTCAAAAATCGCAAGATGCTGTAGCAAAGATGTTCAACTAATTTTTGTCATGTGCCGCATCAGTTATGGTTTCCCTCAGGGGTACATTATGACTGTGAACCCATGCAATTGCAGGATGGCCTCATTTTATTCCATACACACAGTAAATTGATAGATTACTCGTTTGGAAACCAGAACCCAGTCAGAAATGTATTTATTTTATTTTAGAAGGGTGACTCGTACCCCCAAAAATGCTTGCAATATCTCAACTTTGTTAAAAGTGAAGACAATTTGCAATTTTGGTATTTTCAATACAATACCATTTTTATCAAGAAACACATTATTTTGCCTTTGCGTGCCAGATAAAATGATGTGACAAGCCACCTATCGACCCGGGCTTTCAGTTTAACACCAGTTCACTGTAGTGGATCACTGACCTCCACTGATTATGTCGTAATTACAGTAAATAGTTTTATGAAAAACACAAAATATGAAAGAAGCAAATGAAATGACGTTTTATCATGTCTCTCAGTCAACTCAGTCAGTTGTGTAGCATCGATTCCTAATTTAGTCATCTGAGGCAAATGAAGTGCACTACTTGGCTGCAACCAGCAGGGACTGGATTAATTTGAGTCTCAAACAGTATTTATTGATCTGACACTTTTTCGCAGGACTCTATATAATGTCTCAAAGAAAGTAAATCGACATATTTGTATTTTTTTTATACCTTCTCAATTAATTTGGTTGTTATGAGGTCTAGCTGCTGTTTCAAAAAATCGTCCAATACACCACAGCCAGCCATCCACAAATGTCTCATTCTAATCGCATCAAGCTTTAAATGGTGCTACTGAATATTGCAAGCAGTACACTGAGCCTCGCTCCTGTGATCAGCCCGGACCGTCTCTGTCTTGCAGAACCAAAGATCAATGCCTCTGATCAGATCATCCTGCCGGCGGACTCCCCTGGCGTCCCAGTTACTCTACATTGCAACCTCACCACCGCCCACACCGCCAACACCGTACACACGGAGAGCTTCTGGGTGAAGAACGGAAGGGAGATCGCCAACACGCGGACTGAGCATCGGACCACAGCGTACAGGTGTGGTTTGAGGACTCGGCGTTGCAGAAAGTACTGATGGAAAGTGAATTAAAGGCCCAAAGTTCATCGGACCGTGTCAAGAAAAAGGCAGCATACTGATTGGCTTGCTGGCAGTTGACCTTTGGATTTTTTAATTGCCTCTCTGAATCTTTCCCTCTGAAAATTGTGTTGATTGGCATCCTTGGAAAAAGCAAAACATTAAGTCTGATTTTGAACTTAATCTACACAGCGGTACTTCTACTTCTCCTCATACAAAATTTTCAAGTGACGAAATGCCTCAAAAGGAAAATATTGCCTCTTGTTACAAAAAAAAAATGTTCAAGATAAGAAAGGTAAAAATACAGTATGGTCTCTTCTAGGAGAGAACATGAACTAAAGAGGGCAAAAAATGATAAGGACTGTGTTAAAAGTGAAATGACCATTTTTATTTTTTACTCAATTCTTTGTTTTTTACATTGTGCACAAACTCTAATTTATTGTGCAAAAATCTAATTATAACATGTATTTGTTACATATTTTGCTGCATTTTTATGCTTTAGAAAACATTTATGTCTGAATTTTGGGGGGCTTGGAATGGATGAGGGCATTTACATGGAAAACGCATCTCTACTTACAAAATTTTCTCGTTCATAAATTTCTTCCAGAACCAATTAATTTCTTAAGTAGAGGTACCACTGTACTAAAAGTGATAAACCCCGGCCTTCGGTATCAACTCGTTTTAACTTTGCACTGTCACAAAGGATCACAGATGAAGCACAAAGCCATTGTCGCCCCTGTAGACAAACCACAGACTCTATGTAGCCACAAGATAGGACCAATTGGTCACTTCCTTGTCACATTACATCAGTGATACTCGGAAGATTGCGGCTAATATGCCCGTGGTTCCCCTGCCTGCAGAATCCTGAGCTGCTGCTCTGTAATATTCCAGCATCATGCCAACACATTGTTTGCCACGGGCTCTCCGGTCCTCCGAGGGCCTCGCTGCTGTAGTCCCAGCTAATTAGTAGTGCTTTACTTCATTGCTTTGAGTGACTGGTAGGTTTAAAACGTGGCATTCATTGTTTCTGTCTTGTTGTAGAATTGGTAAACCACGGGCAGATGATTCTGGGGAATACATGTGTGTCTACACATTCGAAATGGCTCCGAATGCAAATGCAACAATTGAAGTCAAAGGTAAGATTATTGCATTGCCTAACTGTTTGTGATGTCAAGCCCCTTTGCCTGTTAGATTATTGTTCTCTATCAATGGCACCAACACGGAATTGGGAACAAAGACAATCCGGTGGTATTCTGGCTTCGTAGTGTATTGTGCAATGCCAGGGAAGAACCTTTGGTCAAATAACACCAGAATGGGGAATCGCAGAGTATGTCACGATGGTATTTATCAAGATATTTCACCAAGAATAACTACTGTAAAATATCATTTGATGTTGATGATTTAATTCAGAAATACTACCAAGAACACAGCAATCAATCAAGCGTATACAAGTAGCAGAATATGCCGTTCATTTATCATTTAGATGATATGTTGACGATGCAACGGTTGGAAAGTGTATGAGTGCATTTACAGTACGTTGACATTGAATGATTATATTACCAGAGGTTCTCAGTGACATGACAACTTTGACATAATACAAATCTGTACGTATGTCCAAACCTTTAGTCCATCACAAACCTACGCTAATGCAGTATTCATAATTGTAGCTGTAGACTCTATCAATATTCTATCCCACCCGTACTACTCTTTGGGACATACTGAACTGTGACGCTAATGAGGTCACGTTGTATAGGAAATGGATGAACGGATGGATGTATGGAGAGGACATCGCTGATTTTCTGCTGAGCCATAGCAAGATAGAGATGTCCTAGAAAAGTTAACAACCTGAGGCTGTGTGAAGTGACTCCTTGTTGACAAAGATGTTTGAACTCATCCTGTGCAACGGTTATGACAGGAAGCTCTCCCGAGGCTGTTGTCACTCTTGGCTTTCGCTCAGATGATGGTCTTCACAAAATGGACAGGCGACCGCAAATGTTCAGCAGACATGCAAACACGGAGCTCTCCTGCAGGGCATTTCTAGGGCCGCTTGTCAAAATAGAAGCGCTCTTGCGATTTTGTGATTGGAAACTGGGTTATCAAAGGACCGATTAGCAGGTTATGTAAACAGTGCTCGAAAAGCCGAGCGACCAGGCGAACTCATCTGCTGTACCACACAAACTGATGGCCAAGCCGTCGCTTTGAATAAGGAATCCTCCCTGAGAAAGGGCAAGTGAAGACCCTGTTCAAGAGAAGCTTGCCTGCGTGCGCTACATAAGCCAATTTGCTGTGGCATGGCTAGGCTGCATACTGAGCATGCCCTGCCTCTTATTCTGTGGTTGTCTTAGAGCGCTGCCTGATTGCGTAACATGGGTGATGAGTGTGTGTGTGTGTGTGTGTGTGTGTGTGTGTGTGTGTGTGTGTGTGTGTGTTCTGCTTTTTACTGGCTCAAGAGCTGACGGGACTCGTGTCCGTTCAAAGTGAAGTGTCCTGGCCGTCGCCGTGGCTGCAGGCCTGTGACTGTTGAGGCTTTCTATGTGTCCCCCGGGAGGGAAAGTCAGTCCCTTTCACTGGACACAGGGTGCCTGAGTTTGTCCTTTATGTTCATCAGTGCCAGAAGAAGCTACTGCCAGATTGATAACCTTTTCATCACGATCCCCAAATGCTCTTTTAAATTTTCTTGAAGTGTTTGCAATCATTTGTGACCTAGGTAGAGAGCCCGCTGTTATGCTAGCCAGCTTTGCACTGTGCTTCTTGGCAGCCGATTGCTTCGATCCCTCGCCTACAGTGTCCTTGGCACACTCATCCTTGCGGGACTCAGCTCTAGAGGCAACAGATGGAGGCTTCTGTGATGTTGTAGGATTAAGGCTGTGAATCCTGTCCCAGCCATCTCTGTTGCAGCACGGGAGTTTATTGTCTGCGATACTAAGCTCACTGCCACTACTCATTTGGTACCTAAAAAAAGCCCTAACCTGCTGAATGATAATAACATTTACTCGTGGCAGTATCAGTAATAGTACTATGCTAAAGTCATAACTGTGGTGTTGGCAATGTTATAGCGTCAAAATACAGGAATGTTATTATAACACAGACCTCTAACAAATGGATTGTTAACAAACAACTGTGGCGTATCCATTATGTGTTTGTTTGGTAACATTTTAAGAGGTTAACGAGAATGGATGAAATGCTAACAATTGTCATACTAACATGGACCCAGATGGCATCGTTAACGGGAGTTTTTGTTTGTTTGTCCTTCTGGATTGTTAGTTCGTAGGCTATATCCTGGTTCCTGGAAGAATATGAACCAACCTTTAATGTCAATTTGGTACATGGTGCTGATATCACTACCGAGATGGTACAATTCTAAGGTGCTAATATTTGGTATGCTAACATACAGAGAGAAAGGCACTTAAAAAAGTACCAAAAAAAGTGCCATGGCCGATAGAAAGTTTTCATTTCTAGGAGTCAGTTACTATTTCAAGAGGCTGATGAGACTGGAGGAAATGCTAAAATGCTAACATGACATTCTAACATAGACACAGATAGGAAACGACCTTACGTTTGTTCGTCCATCTGATTCAATACTTAGTAGGCTACTTCCTCATGTACGGAGAAAGACAGAGAGAGGTTGCTGTTATGATTCGGGGAGATGAAGGAAACGCCATGAAAGCTGAAACAGAAATAGCCGCAATCATTTCATACTAACTGTATCTGTTTGATTATTTAGTCTGTCAAAACGTCTGTTGTGAACAAGGTCACTTTAACAACAAAGCTAATGGTAGTCTGAGACTTTTGGACAGTCCTGCGGATCATCACAAGCAGATCAGATTCAAAGCTGCCAATAGAGGATTTAATTTAAATGTCTCTCAGTCATCCGGTGAAATCCGAATGCATATCCTCCTCTCTGACAGCTATGACCTCCTCCCTCCTCCAAAGTCCACGCTCTTTATCTCCGCCTGGCACAAACAGTTTAATAATCGCGGGAGTGTGAAATTGAGGTTTCCGCTGCTTTGCCGCCACTTTGGACAGTTGTCTCCATGCCGTCACTCGTTGACATAATACAAGGCAGGGATAAGGCGCAAATGAGCTTGGCCACTCCTCTACTCAGGGCAGCACGTGGGCTCCATAATTAGAGTGGGGGTGATGTCACCAAAGAGCTCAGACCCCCCCTCTTACTCTATTATCCATGTGCAGCTGAGAAAAAAAATATCACTCGGGGTCTTATCCTGCTTAATTGCATGGAAGGAATTATTGCAATTTTGGGGGATTATCGGCAGAGTGGTTATCCTCTCACAGCGAAAAGAGTCAAATGAAGAGTCTCACCTGTTCAATTGGCAGACTATTGTGACTTGGCGGTCTCAGTGGCTTGTTCTATCCCTGGTTTTGAATAGACACCATCGCAGTGTTCATTAATCAGAGCATATTTATTTTGTTCCTTTCACATTGCATCACTTGTGGAAATCACTTTGGAGTTTTTGAATTGGAACATCTGGAGGCGCTAATACCTCACCGATCCCCTTCTCTTATGACCTCAGTATGACTCTTAATGATTTTTTTTTTGTTGCTTTCTCCACATTGCAGTGTGATCTTACTCATTGCGGTAAATTTTCGTGATCAGAACATCTGTCTGGGAAAAGCTCATTTGACGAAAGGTCTTTCAAAGGTTTTCCATCTTTCAGATAAAAGGGGTAATTCGCTATGAAAAAAAATATACTGTTAAACTGCCTGTGACGAACTGGTTTCCAGGGTGTACCCTGCCTCGCCTCGAAAGGCAGCTGGGCTTCAGCTCACTAATGCCCTTTGAAGATAGAAAATGGATGGAATGGTAGAACAACAGTCGAGGCCTAGAATCTGTGACAGACAGCATAGAGTTGAAACACACTGAAAACTAGAACACAATCTGCTTACAAAAAAAAAAAAAATCCCAACATGTAAGATACATTTAAATAGTCCCAGATTCAAACTATCACTATAATAAGACATGAATTTACATAGAGTCGATTTCACACAATATCGAAAGGTTAACCTCTGTAAAAGAAAACTAAAATAAAGAAAAAACTAGCCACCCTTTATTTCAGAATGACACTGTCAGCAAGTGGAACCGCGGGAAAGAGCTAACTTGATATTTCTGGCTGCTTCGGCATCTACACCTTAAACATTAACATGGTTGAGAAACAAGAAAAATGAAACATTTTTAGCGTAGGACACATTTAATCACAAGAGGTTTCTCTGGTTCGTCGCAATGTGTCACGTACGCATTTGAAAGTCTTCAACGTTATTTTCAAGTTGTTGTTTACCAGAACATCGAATCACACTTTGTATAATAACTCGCTCTTCTTCTTCTGTACCATCTTCTCCGAGCTTAGCTAACCATTTCTTTTGATCTCTTATCATAGCGAAACCTGTTATCACCGGCCATAAACGAAGTGAAAATAAAAACGAGGGGGAAAACGCCATGCTTTACTGCAAGTCGGTCGGTTATCCGCATCCCACCTGGACGTGGCGTAAAATGGAAGGGACCTCCTCCACTGTAAGATATTTACCTTCACATTGTCAGATAAACTTGAATGTGATGTATTTTTGACATGAATGAAGCAATTTGAACCCTTTCAGGACATTGACAACTCCACCGGACGCTTCTTCATCACAAGCCGGGACAACTACACGGAGCTGAACATCATAAACCTCGATATCGACACAGATCCCGGGAAGTACGAGTGCAATGCATCCAATGCCATAGGGACAACTGCCGAAATCACCATTCTACGGGTGCGAAGCCATCTTGCGCCACTTTGGCCGTTCCTGGGTGTGCTCGCGGAAATTATCATCCTCGTCGTCATCATCGTCGTGTATGAGAAACGCAAGAGGCCGGATGACATTATCGATGGTAAGAGACACCATTTCTGACTGGGGTATAACTTGCTATCTGATACGTTGAAATAACCACTGAGCAATTATTCGATGTGGGCGATCGATCTATGGCACATCACACTGTCCATGAAGAGCTCTTTTCCTAAATGAGATAAAAGCCAAATTGAAAAATGACTCATCTTGCCATGTCATTCATGTAACTTTTGGTGAGCATGTTCTGAGCCAATTCATTGATTGCACAGGTTCAAATTGAGGTTGGTCACGTTTGGAAGAGAATTCTTCATATGTGACTAGTGGAAAATATTAAAGGTCTTCATTCGCAGCTATCGAAAAAACTTTTTAGGAAAACGCATGAGCATTTTGCATAATCATAGGATGATGAAACACTGTCATGTCCAATTGTTTTTTCGCAATGTACAAACACACAAAAGTGGCAGTCATTAGATTTAGCATCAGACTGTAATTGTGTACTATTAGTCCATCTGTTAACTGTCATCATTGAACATGATGCATTTGAAGTTGCTTACATAGATGTGCGCTTTAGAGAGCGTGCATGTTTTTTTTCTCTCAGCTTTGAATGATAGCATGAACAAGTTTGACAAACTTTATGATGTTATTAATGCTTCGGAGAATTGGGCCTTTGCTGACTTAGATTGGAGAGAAAATGCTCAATTTTTTTACCCTGCTGAAGTATGTGTTGTGACTTTCGTCAAGACGTGATGTGTCGAACGGGAACTGGAAGTGTTGCCTCACGTAATACCCATGCGAGACACATGCAATGAGAGGTGCATGAGAGGTGAACCAACCTTTTGAAGAACTGTTGTTCCCTTTTGAGTGACAGCCATGGTAACAATGATGTGAATAATGTATATATATCAACTCAGATGTGCAACTGAATTGGTGACTATTTTTCCCTTCCCCTTTCGAAACGGCACCATAATCTAAATGGGTGGTAAGTGAGAGATTCTGCATGGTCCTAGAGATGTCTTTTTTTTTCAGTTGTTTATAACAAGCCTACTGTCCATTGCCCCAAAAAACTCCAAGTGTGAATTTGGCTCCATCTCAGTGTTTGTTAAATGTTGATCTACCGCCAGAGATTCAATATTCCTCAAACGATATACAGTAATATTAGGTTATGCGAGTGCTCCGGCTTTGCATGCCTCCCCTTGCAATAATTTTTAAAGCCTTCTGTGTTGCCGCATCTCACAAACTGGTTTTGAGTGTGGGCGGACGCGCTGCAAACAGGCAGGTAAACAACGCCTGCAAACACAACTTTGTATTAACACACTCACCCCTGCAGCAAAACACTTCAGGAAGCCATCTTAACGGGCCGAGACTGAACATTATGTCTTATTCAGCTCAATGAAATCTGATTAAAAAAAAAAAAAAAAAAATACCAAGAGAAAAAAAAAAAAAGAGAACTGACTTGAAATTCAAATAACGTTTCTGCATGTATTTAAACCACAATGCGCCTTTAAAAACAGCCGTACGCTTCCGGTGGAGGACGTGAGCACTTGAAATGTCTCGAAACCCCAAAGGCAGCCAGGAGTCAACAAAGGTTATGCCTAACCTTTACCAATGTGACTTTATCCTCTTCAAAAATTCAACATACCACTACAGCCCCATTCCACTAAAACACAACTGCGACAGGCCCTGCTGTCATTATGGATAACAGCAGGCTAACCAAACACGCTAATACAGCCCAAACAAAGCCTCGGGGTACATCATGCTTTTGTTTGCTTTAAAGCAAACAAAGAAGATTTACTCTGGCGAACGTGGAAGGAATATTAAACAGTTTTATTTCGGCTACACTTGAAGGCGCTCCTCTTAACATTTCATCAGCTGTAAATTGACAAAGGGAGAGTGATAACACATCACTGCAAAGGGTATTTATATCAGTTTGAGGTCAAGTGGGATAGCGAGCAAACTTGGCATAAAAGGATTGGTCACAACTGTGCATGCAAGTGTTTTTTTACTACAGTGGAACCTCTAGAGTTGAAAGACTTGCAAGAAGTAATTCAACAATAATTTAGGGGGAAAATTCACGCATGTGTCAAAAGATTTACTTTGCTTCTGTTTTGCTTTTTCTTGAGATTTATTTTCAAGGCTCAAAATAATTGGATCCGCATCGCAGTTTGTGAGGCAAAATTAGCATTTTTTGCAGATTAAATAGCAAAACTGAGAATCGACCACCAAGATGTCACAAAAGCTTCGCTGGGCTGGATGCACGTGCGTCGCTCATGTCACCTACCGCGGGTCGTCGGTGGTTGAGGCAAGGTCAGTGCGAGCTTCGCCACACCAGGTCGCTAGCAATGACCTTCAGCTGATAGTCCGGCTAAACACATTGCGGAGTCAGTGATCACCGCCGAATAATAATATTATTATTCTCACGAAGCGATGACGATAATTGCACAATAATTAGTTTGACCTTCGAACAGAAAACACCTCCATTATTTCCCATCAGAAAAAAAATGGAGGTTAACCACAGATTGTGTCCATCCTGAGAGGTTCCACAGTATTAGACAGGATAACGCGACATATGTATCCTGTAAGGAATTGGGAAATGGATTTAGTTTGATTAATGCACATTATGGGGAGTTATGCGGTGGAAACGTAATGTATAGAAAAATGGGGTGGAAATTCTTCCAAATCTTTGAAGCAAAGAATTTCGCCAGTATAAAACATGTTAGAGCTTCTTGGTCTTTTCAATAACAGCTAAAAATAGTCAACCGGAATCAATGTCTTGAAAATAATTGTTATTGATCTGTGATCTATTTTTAAGTAATATTTTCTTCTCTGAAAATAACAATGTTGCAGTAAACCGCAATCTTGGGAGAAACAGCAAAGCAATAATAAAACACTTTTGTCAAATAAAACATTGGCGCGCATCAGTGCATGCACAGCTCGAGTAAAGTGTGCGCATGGCCTCCAGTTGGTTTCATCCACCGGAAAAATGAAGCGATTAAGGTGGATTATATTTGCTATGTTTATGCCATTCAAATCAGCAGTGAGGACTCTCAGCTCACGAGGCACAGCCTCTCTAAAATCTCCTTTTAGCACCCCAGATTCCCGCCGGTTTTGGCCCTCTGTCTGCGAGCATTAGGACTCGCTGCATTTGAACACCTCCCATGCTCCACAGTCTAGGGCTCTGAGGCAGAGGCTCGCATTTATCCCCTGTGTTTCAAATCTAGTTGCTTGGGATTTTTACTGTGTGATCATTTCTTTTGCAAAACGAAACAACAACCCCTGCCAAAAAGTATCATTGGCGAAATCGCATGCATTGTGAACAAAAGCGATCGTCTTGTTACGACTGTCACACAGTAAAAATCTGCGATTTGTCATGTGCTTGCAGAGGCTGTATAGTAAACACAGCTTGTGTGGCGTATGCATAGGAGGTGAGAACACGTTGGCATATGCAGAAAGACGTCCCGCCGCAATTGATCGCAGCGCCATGATTCATGACTAAACAATGACTGCTGTAATACTTCGCTTCATATTAACGCCATGGAATGCTGCTCTAACGCTGCCGATCTGCGACTTTGGAACTGCATGTGGCTGTTTACTTACCCGGTGACACGTTTGTATCTGTATGCCAAACGCCTCGTCCGGGGTACCATATGGAACGATACGCCTCGTTTCCACCAAGTTGTAAAGTTCAGTTCGGTACTAGATAGTTTGGCTAAATGTGCTCCCGTGTCTTACATAAATATATTAAAGGACGCGATTCGTTTTAAAATCTCTTGCCCGATTGGAGGAAATTGATGCGTGGACCAACAGTAACTCAACTTTCCATCATTGACACTTAGGACTCTATTTTGGCAGACAGTGCAGCTGCGCACAAGCGTAAAAACTGCCGCATATTGATTTTCATGCTGGTGCAAGACTCGTCACGCCTGGAAAGGAATTTGGCAGACCGCACTGCACCACGCTGGGGTGTTCTGGGGTCGCAAGGGCGTTTCATTTGAATCGCGCTCGCACGCCTGATAATATGGTGGCAGAGAGTCGGTCTAAACTTATGCCTGCTCAGACCGCATCTAACTTTTGTCTACAAATGTGATTTTGGAGAATTTAATTGAATTGCAGGTCGACAGATAAAACACTGTTTCAAGTGACTAACCGGCACAAAAGAAAACACGTAATGCTTTAAAAGCACCGTTTTTGGTAATACATATAGCATTCCTATACCATAGCTATTTATGGAAGAACTTGTGGAAGGATTTTGGTGATCAAGAAAATGTTTGGAGAGGGCAGAGTGGTTGGAGGGTGGGGGCGGGGAAAGCGTTGCCCAAGGTGAAGCTGAACCCGAGAGTTATTGATATACGGAAGCGCAAATAGGGGGGAGATTGCTATATTTTTTTGTTGGGGTGTGGTCCACAGTCGTACATGTTGTTAACAATGATTGATTGACAGAAAAACGCAGTCTACATTGGTGTTACAATAGAATTAACAGAATGGGAAAAAACAACACCTGAAGATTACCAAGACTCTTGTTTACTAGTACACAGCGTTGCACCACGCCATTTGTTGTCTTTTTTAAAAATAACTGTTTCACTTGTGTAGCTAACACAGCTTTCACTATTTCGCGCTGGAACCAAAAGCCTCATCCGTTTTATTGATTTGAATTGTACCCTTGGTGGAAACGTGGCTTGACACGCAAGTCCTATTTTCTAGGATGTTTCTCAATGAGATATTGAAATTACAGCCTTTCAATGGACAATATAATCATGCACTGCTGATTGAGATAATGTTTGACTATTCTTGTTAAAAAAAAAAAAAAAAAATCGGTGTGCTATTATGAATGAATTAAAAATCAGCAGGAAATGTGGACATTCTCACTGCGTCGTGCTGTAGGGAAATCATAAAACCACTATGATGCTGCTGGAAGCTCAAAAAAGATCTGTGTTATTGTGCCAAATCGGGCACAATGGCTCATTTGTGAATTGTTTTTTTTTTTGGGGTCTTTTCAAAACAATCATTGTGATATTGCTGGCTGTAATTAAAAGGCGGTTTCAAATGAGCCATCTGAAAGCCTCCGACACTTATGCTCGGTCTGAAAATGAATAGCAACCCCAAGGGTTAAAATTTGATTTGTGGAAGCTTAAAGGGTCCATTGCAGAGTTATCGCATTCCACTACTTAAACATGATGTCACCGCCAGCCATTTTACCACGCTAATGTAGTTGTGCAGCTTTACAGCCTTCCAAGAAGCCTCATTTTCAAATGTATCCTTTTAATTTGAAACAGTTTGTGCATAGAAGGCTGCTGACTTGAGAGCTTATCACGAGTGCACGGCTATGTCACACCAGCATCCAAAGCAATCTGTTCTCTCAGCAAACGGTCACGCTTGAATAATTCGGTGGCCTATATTGAGTAACTCTGGAGCATTTCTAAATCCGTTTTTTTCTTCTTCTTTTTTTTTTTTTAAATGCCTCAGTGAAATAGTTACCTGCACAAAGTTGATGTGGTTGACTTTCTTCTATGACCTTTATCTCACATTTGTATTTTATGTTTGTTTTTCATTCCCTGTTCTCCCCGTCAAAGATGATGAGCCAGTTGGACCAATGTAAGTCAACAGATTTACACACGTCGTATTTTCTTAAATAGTGGCCTTTCCTCAACTAGATACCGTAACCCAATTAGCCTGCTCAGGTCATCCAGAAGAAAATAAACACTGTACAGTAAGTGACAAGTGAGGTTAATATGCGGACAACTACTGAGCCCACTTGAATTCTGTTGATCACCAAAGTACTTAAATAGTTTCTTGGATGAATTGTAAGTGTGGACTCTTTCCACATCGAAACAAGTTCCTTATGCGGTCTTAAAGGGGCTACATCCTGCCATTTTAAGCTTTCCACAATTAACTATAAACACAAATAAGGTGATATATTACTGTTGGCACAATGGCGATCTAATTTCTTATGAAACAATTCATTTTAGTGGCTATTTTTCTAACCCGGAACTAAGTCTCCTACTTCACTAAAACCCGGCCCCTCCCCTTCCATGAAGTCATCCTAAAGCTAGTTGCTGTGCGCACCACCCACCAAAGAGTACTTATCACCAGGCAGACTTGTGCCGCTTTTCCATTACTGGACTCCCAAACAAACCCACACCACTCCAAGCTTATGGTCAATCATTTGGCCGCCCATCAATGTCAACAGCTCATTGTCTTTACTCTGTGGCATCCGAAGTCGATCTACGGCTGCCTAAATCCGCCATCCCCGAAACGTCGGGCCGGGAAAGTAGAGACGCTCCACTTTGGCAGATGGAGATCTCCCTTTCAAGGGAATGGGACTCAGTGTGTGAAAAGAGCCACTTCTCCTCAACTCTGGTTCAAAAATGAAAGTGTCGGCTGCTCTGAGAAACTGAGAAAGCACGTGTTTAGTCTGCAGGGACGGTATGGGGGTGGCTCTTCACTTTGTGATGTAGAAAAGTGAGGACCCAGTCTTTTTCTTTGATTGGGCAGAGGTGTTGCTTCGAGAAGAGTCATGAGCAGAAATACTTAGAAGTGGTTGAATGGAGGAAAACACCGCTTTAAGGGTGTTTTTGGTGAGGAATTAGCATTTTAGCATGGTTAAATGCTAAAAAAAAAAAAAAAAAAAAAAAAATGTTGATTTAGCATGTTATGGCCCCTTTAGATATTTTCTTACGTTAAGTTAAACTCCACTTTCAATTAGACACCGCTGTCCCTCTGCTGCAAACTAAAACAGCAGCAGCACACACAATCGCGCAGATGAATTTGTGTGTGTTCGAAACACGTTCTCTCCGGAATATTAAACAGACGGCAGCTTACATGATTCAATATTATCTGACGTAGTCATGCCGCAAAGTAGTGTGCTAGGGGCTGCCCAATCTGTCTCATTTGTTGTCGGGACACTGCATTTATGCCGAGCAGTCCTTTGTGTGCACATTATTTTGCTTTAAATGCCACTTTCCACATCAACAAGAAAAAAAATAATTTCATTCATCGACTTGATAGCTGACACGTAAACATTATACAATTAACTAATGCCCATTTGAACTCTGTGGCAAACCAAAACAGCTGCATCGAAGTGCGTAAATAGTCTCTCAGCGTGGAGCCTGACCACATTTTTTCTACAAGTTCCCTAAGTAGCATGATTTAAACTGTTTTTTAAATGCCAAAAATCCTTCCACTATCTGCAGTTGAATTAAAAAAAAAACAGGCCATTGTTTCTGAAAATACACTCATTCATAATGTGATTAGACTTTTTTTTTTTTTTAACCTTCATGTTTTCTGAACCCTACCTACTTCTTTCCCAGGAAAACCAATCCTACGAACAACCACAAAGACAAAAACGTCCGTCACAGAACCACAAAATAAGCAATCGACTCATGTAAGACACTGACTGTTGGGAGTGATGCCGGGTGCTAAATATAGAACGCGCTGCCGAGGATTATCTGTGGTCATGCCTTCTCTTTATTTTCTCTTCACAGATGAGATGGTGAAACTGCAGTTTTTTTGGCTACATGGCAGCAGCTCAGTTGCAGCCTATCTTGAGAGAGAGAGAGGGGAAAAAAATACAAGCATATCTGGTCTCTTTTTACAAGAAACAATATCAGCATAACACTGGCAACAAGGAGCAAGCGGTGTGGGGAGTCTTAAAGCATGCCTTGTCGCGTGAAGATGTCAGGATGACGAACTGTGACTACAAATCACTGCAGAGGTGTACGCATTTTTTTTTTCCCGATGTGATGTTGAGGTCTCCTGAATTGATTTTAATCGTGGCCCTCAGATGAGCCGATCCTGCCCTTTTGTATGACATATCATGTAAATGCATGCAAAATAATTACGCAATAGGATACCCAGAATAGACATCTTCTGTGTCCCTCATATATATATATATATATATATATATATGTATAAATTTTTTCTTCTTGAACATTTGTACAGCATATTATGGTCATTTAATGTTTGATTTTGTGACAAGTTCACTTTTAATAGAACTTTTATCGTGAAGCAAGGGCTTCAGTGACTGGCAGTATTTAAAATTTAATGGAGCGTGAATACAGAAAATGAATAATGTGTGTTTATCAAACTAAATATCAATGGTATGTGTATAACTTTAATTTCATTTTGAGAGTAACTTAGAGTGTCTTGTATATGTTGCAGTATGAGTGTTCAAAGGATAGGAAATCTGTTAAAAAAAGATATTTTTTTTAAACATTTCTGAATTTATTTTTATTTTCTAATTTTATTTGACTATATAGCATGGCTATAATCCTATGCAAAATGTATTCTTGAATAGATTAAATGGAGGGCAGTTTGTTTCAAACAGTCAAGCTTTAATATCGTGGGATCCCTTGGATGCTGGCATAGCGACATTAACTGCTGTAGCTGCATGACTCCTCCTTTCAATACAATGTATGATGATGTGTGTTGCGGTGGGAAACGGACCTGAATTGATGTGAGAACAGAAGGAACAGAGTATATAGCCACGATGAAACATATGAATCAGACCACTATTTTTTTTCTGAATAAAAAAATAAAAAACCAAAAACGGAATTGAGTTTTGTTAAAGCTGCGTTAATCTAATCAACAATATGAAATGCCGTACGTGCTAATGTATAACCACGACGCTGTTGACATTGGCAGCGCAAAGCGAGTGAACTCCTACGTAGGGAACGGCGTGGGAAAAACAGCAAACAAACACAAAAGCGCAGCATTGACTTGACCTCCTCTCTGCCTTCAGTTGTCAATGATGATTCACTCCTCGAGTATTTTCCTCAGCTCGCCTTCCACCTGCTCCACCAAAGCGGGGAAGCTGGGATCCAACAGACATATGCGCACGAAGGCGTCCAGGTCTTTAAGTTCTGAAGATGCGTGACGGTACAGCCCAGGTAATGCCAGAGGCATCTCTCCCAAGAGGTTCTATTGAAATTCAATTGCATACATCAGTACGACAGGTCTTCGAAAGCTCATTTTTGAGGCAAATCCTCCAAATGATCATCGAACCTTCTCACCGTGCTCTGCCCACATGAGATGGCGTAGGCAACAACAACAACAACAAAAATCATAAATTAATGTAGCCCATCTGTATCTATCTTCTTATGACTGGGGATCATTTGGGTGACTTCTATGGGGAGAGATTTGTTTCCAAATTATTCACACAACTATATTTGTGATTTTCAAATGTGCTTTTAGGATCCACAAATATAGGCACGATATTCAGACATTTTTGAGATCCAAAAATTTATGTGCGATTTTCACACTTTTCATGTGTTTTTCAGGTCCACAAATATTATGCGCCATATTCGCGTTTATGAGATCCACAAATATATGCACGATGTGTTTGTTTATTTTGTGTCATGTTTAGCATTTTTAAATATTCAATTCTGTGTGTGAATTGTGGATGAGAGGGCACACGAATTTATTATCAAACGCCGTTTGAAGATATTCACACACAGGTCTCCGATATTCACATGTGGGGAAGCCATCACTCCTCCATCCGCTAGAGGCCAGTGTTGCTGTCTCCATCGAACAGGAACGAGCCATCGCTCATTTCTCATTTAAAAACTGGAAATTGGTCTTCTGCTACATGTTTATTTAACACAAGTTGAGAAACAAATATATCCGTAATTTGTTACAGCAGAATAAGACCGTCTTCCGGGTTCTTGGCAAAGCAAGCTCGAGGGAAACAAATAAACGGTCATATTTTGTTTCCCGACGTGTGTTAAATAAACACATAATAGAAAATCAGATGAAGGTCCGTTTTCCGTTGTTTCAATTTCCAATTTTAAAACGAGAAGGGAGAGATGGCACATCTGTTGAAGTGGATCCAACTTAAGACTGTTGGAAAATAGCCTTTTTCAAAGCAATTCCCATTCGGTAAGAACAAATAAAGAGCAAAACTTTTGAATGTCATTGCCATTTGCTTTTTCTATAAGTTAAAGAGGTGCTGGGGGTGCTAAAAAAAATTACCTCCCCTGTGTATTAGTTGGCTGGTAGTTAGGCTGAAGATGACTTGTATCAAATACCTGGGCAAGACGCTTGATGGACAGTGATCCATGGGCAACCTCTGGTTCGCCTCCAGCGGCCTCACCCTGCTGCGGACACGGCTTCAAACACAAAATGAAATGAGAAAGATGTGACCAGACGCAGCACGATGCTGCAGACTAGAGAGTCCAATCAATTGGCTTCATTACTAATTGAAAATATCCCACTCTCGCTTCCCCTCTTCAAAGCTCTTTCATCCGCGCTGGGAACTCCTTCGGTGTGTCTGTTCACTAAAAGGTCACATTCCACCCCGTTGGCACGATGCACACCTTTGTGTCTCATCCCCTCACACGGAATTAGCTCACAGCCCAGTGTTGAATCAAAATACGCATAAAATATTCAAACAATTACATTCAAGATTTTCCCAAATAGAACCAAAAATCTTCCAAAAGTCTTACGGTGTCAATGTGATTTAGCATCTTATTTTTAGCACTGGGTTGTGTATTATCATTCATTTGGCAAGGTCAACGTTAGTGACCTTGTAAGTAAAAAAAATGTATATTTCAATAGTCGTTTGTGGGTGAATAAATATAAGGTGGTCGATCGACTAGATAGTCAAGACTATACTGCATAAGTAAATCAGTCCCTCAAGCTACCGGCAACAATGTGACCTCTAAAGATGACAGTATTGTAAATAACGCCATCTAGTGTCCGAGTCCATGAAACTGACCTAGTTGAGACAACCCTGATAAATCAGCTGTCAGATACGGTCTCCACAGCAATAACTAAAGGGAGACATCCAGTTTGCCGTCAGTATTTTGTAAAAAAATCAATGTTAAAAAAAGTAATTAGAAATGCATGATAGATCAGAATTCTAATTTGAATGCATCAAATGCAAACGCAATACACTGGTTGTACAACTGAGTGCTGTTCCCAGATTGCACTAAATAAACATCTTAACACAAAATGACATTGGATCATTGACAAGAATTTTTGGGTAAAAAAAATTCACCTCATAATGTCAAATGTTTTAAAATAATGCATGGCTCATTAGACCTCCGCATCAAGGCATTAACTTGCTTCTTCACTCTTGACTTTTTTTTTTCCCCCAAAGTCAAGAAAAGACCAATATCTGGCTGAAACTAGGGTGGAGTAAGCGGGCTCAATAAAAGCTGCAAAGAGTCCGGAAAAGTCCAAGTCCATTTGTCCAGCGTTAACAAGCGTCTCAATATCATGTTAGTTGGAAATGACGAACACTTGGATGACAAGAATTCTCTGATTTGAATATTTTGTGACAAGTTTTTTTTTTCTCTAGCACATCAAGTTTTCATTATTTTAATAATATTGTACTGTAACAATAATATAATATGTGATATAGGAATATATACTGAACATTATGAGTTAGTAAGTGTTAGTTCACCAACATATGGATTTATTTCTGAAATATCCAAGCTATAAATTAAAATGCATGGTAAAATCCGTAGAGGTCAAACTTGAAGAAAATGTAAATATCTCAAAAACCTGCTGTGCTGGAAAAGATATTTATTTTTAAGCAGTGTGAAAAATAGGTTTTGAGACACATCAAGCCATCTTTGATTAAAATTTGCTGTTGGCCAGTGTTATAGCAAAAAATGTGATTTTATTTTGAATTAAATAAATAGCAAAATGGGTCACCTGTGTCATCGGTGCAGGGACATCAGTGGGTGGCTGATTATTTGGTGGCAGCGCATCATCGAGAGTGTTGACAGGCAGATACTCCCGGAGTTTTTCTGCAGCACTTGAGCACTCTTTGATGGCCTGTGTCTTGTTCCTGCCGTCAAACTGCATCCTGATCACGCGGCCCGATCCCTGAAGACACACAATCTCGCCGCTGTCACTCCAAGTGGAGACGTGAATATTCTCTTTGTTAATCAGCATCTCATTAGAACCAAAAGGTTGTTGTGAGGTGTTTTTAGAGAACGTAAGGCGAAAAACAAACGTCGAGGGCAATAACTGACAGGCACTTAATAAAAAGCTACAGTCAAACGGCTCACCTTCACAGTATTGCGAAGCAGCAGGTTGTCTGATTTCTGGTGGACTTTGAAAACATCGCTGGCATTAATCAGAGGAATTGTCTCCTGCAAGAGTAAAAGTGGGAAATATATACCACATTGGAGTACAGATGGAAATTGGCTTTCTGGTAAATCTGGTACGAGTATCTCTTTATATATTTTGATATTGATTAATGTGTGTTCACACTCTCCAAAAACTCACCTTTTTTTAATGTTGATTTTTTGGAAACGTATCATATTCATTCCGAAGAAAACAAATGACAATTGCCGTTACCCCATTTCATTTGATGTTCCCCAGGCAAATGATTACTGTTACTAAAGTTTGTCAGCAGGGGTCTCTATTTTCTCAGTTACTTTGGAAGATATATTTGGCTCCTAAGTGAAGTTTATTTTGACAGGAAGGATTCAAAATACATTTATTATGAGACAAAACAGACATTGTAGGTTCATTGAAGACCCTATATTGTCCATTGGTGCAAGTGTGAATATCGGACGACCAGTTCAAGGTGCACCCGGCGTCTTGCTCAGTGTCAGCTGGGATAATATCTAGTTCACCAGTTAGCCCAAGAAGGACGAGCGCTATAGATGGGTGGATGCTTCAAAACACTTTTAATCACCAATTTGTTCCACAAATTCTTAACCCACCCCTAGTGAAAAGTAAACGTTGTCACTTTTGTAGAGTTCCTGAGTCGAGCCACCTTAAAGGCTGTGCTGATTTTATTCTGCTGACGACATGTCTACAGCAGGTGTTCTGAAGGCCGTAACTGACATCACACTATTCTTTCAAACACAGAAAATTAAAGTTCACAGCATCTTTTCCCGCCGAGCCTTATCGTGCGGCCTGTGGGCCCTCCTAAGCTGACGATATTTGAAACTTTCCTGAGCGCTTACAGCACCAATCTATAATACGGTGCTCTATCATCCTGGGCAAAAAGCTAGTCGCAGTCTGACCTGAATATCATCCTGACTGGCGAACACACGATATCTGTGACTCAGCACACCGACTATTATTGTGTTTGTTGTCCACAAGGCAGTGAGATATTTATTAGTTACTATACACAATCGTCAGAGGCATCCAGTGGAACCCCTGAGTTCTGAAAATAACATTCAGAATGCTGATCAACCGAGTTGTTCAAATTTTGAAAAAAAAAATTACAAATGGAAATTGTCTGGGGTCCAGGATAAAACGGTCGCCATCATAGAAGAATACAATTATTAACCGAAAAGGCAATGTTTTGATGAAGATCGGAATATGTATTATATTCATTGTCATACAGGTGTAAAAATAATCTAAATTTAAAAATTATCCGTCCATTTTCCTTCACTCGTGGCAAGGCACACATAGACAAACGACCATTCACACTCGTAATCAAACTGATGGCCAGTTTTAGGAGGATGCCAGGGTACTTGGAGAAAACCCACGCGAGAACGGGGAGAACAGGAAAACTCCACTTATGAGACTTGTCCAGCAATTGTGTTTCGCAGTTCCATTATATTGTACTACTACCTTAACACTTTTGTAAACAAAAATTCCTGCCAAATTTATTGCTGTCAGAAAACAGCCACCACAGATGGATGGCCATCAATAACACCGCGATTACTGTTCAATCTTGCTGTAATTTAGTTGCAGGTGATAAACTCACATATCTCCCAACCAGGCTTATCATTTGGAAACCCACATTACTAATTAATGGCAATGTTATTAAATGTTGCAATCTATAATAATGCAGGCCATCTACAGTATAATAACAAGTGTGACAAACTATAAATTGCCGGAATCGCAAGCATGACATTTGCAGATGCAGCCAGGCCGTAATTTATTTTGTGAATTACAGAGCAGAGAGTGGCGGTATGTGGCAAGCAGTTTCATGGATGAGCACGATCCGGAGTCGAATGTGTGCATGTGGAACATCAGAATTTATTGCTGCGTTGCGCCAGATTTTGGTATGGCAACGTTCACATATTCAGAACATCGTGATTAACGTCCAAAGAGATGGTGAGCAGTTGGAAACTTTTACCCCTCCTTTTTTTTCCCTTTTTTGTTTTCGCCTCATCACCGCTAACTGGCTCTTGGAGTCCTCCCTCAAGGCACAGGAGGGCTTTAAGACTCTTTTGTCCCTCCTGACATGCGCCAATCTTAAAAAAATTAAACCAACAAAGCCATCATGGGATTATCAGCTTGTTAGCATTTCTGAAACATGTTATCGATGGCCTGGTGTAAGCAAGTAGTCTGAAAATGCATGTTGGTTTGCACAAGGTCAACACACGACAGCAGTGGAGACAATCTATCTGCAAGATTGTGCATGCTCTGAGATTTACCTCCCAAATAAATATTTACAACCAGTACTTTTTTTATTCTAGCTCACTAAGAAAACAATTCTGTGAAAATGGAAAAATAAGCAAGACACCAAAATTAAGTAGTGGTTAAATAGACACTGCAATTGATAAAAAAAATATGGCAGAAATAAAATAATGACCTAAATAATTATGGAGAAAGCTGGTCATTTTTCATCAGCATGCTCAACCTAGATCTGCGATTTCTCTTTGCCTGTGTAGATATTCCATTTAACAATAACGCTGTTAAACTAAATGTAATGTAATGACTGCTACTTCGCCGTATAGCCCGCCCTGCAGGATTTGCACCTTCTAAATCACACACTGAGCACACACTCACACCTGCCAATTCCTGGCACGGACATATTCAGGGTTACCTGGGGGTGAGGGGGGGTCAGGGCAAAGAAAGTGAACCGGTGAACTGGGATCAGCAAGTTTCTGCCGTTTCCTGGTGCAGACGCACTGCTCCTCTGCCCTGTCTGGCCCCCAGGTTTTAATGCATCACCCACACTCACCTCTCATGAGTTTTAATGCAATACTTACTGTACATATATTTTCTGATGAGCCAGGAGTGAGTGACGGGTTATTTTGTGTCAATAAATGCAATTGTTGAGTTATGTTATCGCTGAGTCATTAAAATATATAAAGAAACAATGAAGCATGTGTGTGCATGTTTGTGATGGCAATGCATGTCTGTGACAAGGGGAAAGATTGGAAAGACAATTTTTAATCCGTGCACAAGCGTGTAAAGCAGCAGCAACATCAGAAGAATTTGAATTTTTAGAGGGCCATGCTGATTATGATATTTGGCAGAATAAAATTTTGATAACCGATTCATTGGCTGATTTTTGGTCCCACAATAAAGGTAAGAATTACAGACAGAACATTTGACTGTTTTGTAATACTTTGCCTTTTTTTGTTGTTGGGGAAATGTCCAATTTTTGCAGATTTTAAAAGAGCTAATATTGGCCGATTAAACTGGACGGACGATTAATCGGTCGGGCCCTAAGAACCATCAGAATCAATCTCTTACCAAGCATTCCTGTCCCTGCAAGACCATCAGGTATCCAGAGTCCACGATCGTGGCGATAATTTCAGGCTCATTCTTTGTTGCTTCAAATATCTGGAGAGGTTAAAAAGAAAAAAAAAAAGATGTCGTCTCAAAGAGTACATAGAGGAAAATTGCCATTTTAATTCTTAATCATGATGAAAAAAAAGTCTGCTGGCACTGATCCTTTCTTGCCAATTAATTTGATATCATGTTACCATCAGCATAATGCAATAAGGACACATTACGGCTGTTGGGCAGTTGGTGGGCGAACAACCCCATTACCTCGCACGTCGGTACGAATCAGCAGAATCATGCCATGAGTGACTGTAGTAACAGCTGAAAAGATTTAAAACGTGCAAATGATGTTCCTTCTTCACGGGATGCTGGACTTAGTACAGCCTCTGGTGTGCTGAAGGGGAGAAGCACTTATGTCTTTGGTAGAATTCACACAGGGTGTGATTTGACAAGGAACACCCTTATTTTAGCATCGCTCTACCCAGCGTGCGTAGATTCCATGAAGATGCTCAAGTGACACACTTAAGTCAATGGTAGGAATTTCTTGCGCCAGGACATTCATTGATGAGTGTAATTCAGCGGCTTGTTGATGAAATGCTTCCTCCAAATTAGCCAGAGGTGGCTTCTCACAAGTGCCATTCATTTGAAATCTGGATGCATAAGTCTTAACGGGTGATCTGGAGGTCGCATCATAGTGTCCAAGAACACACCAAAAATTTGATAGGGGGTTCAAAAGTACAACATATAACAAGGAAGCATGCTAAGACACTGAGTCCCGCTTGCTTCGTCGCAACATCCTAGCTCATGTCGTCATTGTACTGTGCCGTACACAGCATTTAAAAGTCAATGTGAAGTGTTCCGTATTTTTTTTTTTGTTCTTTGTGTATTTTGACGGAATAATGACAGAGACCCTTCATTCTGCCATCTGGGAACTGTACTGTATGTTTGCTTTGCAATTTTTAATTTTTTTGCAATTTTTAATTTTTTAATCTCTTAATATTATCAGCGGTGACATTATTTTGACACTTGTTACAACGACAGTATACACATTACTTCCTCGGGGAAGAATTGCTTCAATATCCATACAAATCAGAGGTTAACTGCAATCACAGTTAATTGAGCCTTACATGATCCCTTTGTCAAATACACACACACAGACACACACAAATAATTGGACGAGTAACCACTGGCTCTTTTTTTTCAGGTTCTGCTATTATGATGCGTTTTGGCTTGCTGTCAGCCTGTGAAAGCTTGCCAAGCGGTTGAGTAAAAACACAGCCATTGTCATTGTTCCTGGTGACAGCTAAGAGGGGAGGAAAAAAATCTTCTGCGATGAGGCAGAATGCACACGCACGCACACACACGCACACGCACACACACACACACACACATATATATATAAACCATCACCTAATCATAGTTTAGCACAACGAGGAGTAATTTTTAAGAGCAAAAGTGAAACAAACGCTAGCAAGATATCGGTAGTCTAAATTTGCATCGAGGTGGTTAATCGGTACTTACTTTCCAGGATTCCCTCTTGCCGGTTTCACCCGAGACTGGAATAAGTCGTCCATAACGTTTCAACCTCCAATTCAGAGTGCTGGCCATTTAAAGTAAGTTACTAATGTTGTTATTCGACTTTTTCTGTGCCAAACAGTCAATACAAGGGAGTGTAGGGTGCCTCGGTAAACAGGTGAATGTTACTATTTTCGTGTGGAAGTGTCTGTTTGTAACGGAGTGCCAATAAAGTTTTGAAAATTTCCGGAAAAAAGTGGCGCGTTTGAGTGACAAAATGGCTTGGAGATTTAAAGTTTTACTTCCTGTTCTTACTTGAACGCATTTCATCTACACATACAATGTGCGTATTTAGTTCATTTTATATCTTCGCAGTTGTAATAAATGCCCACCACAGAAACATAAATTCGGATTCATTTCCGTTTTTTTGTTCATTGGGTTCTATGTTCACAAGTTGCAAGCCAAGATTTACAAGGCATCCTGAATTGTACCCTTGGCTTCTGCAAATATATAATTTTTCTTTATTCATAAATAATTCATCTAACCTGAAACTAGCATTTAGTGTACAAAAAAAGAGCTTTAGTGTAATTCATCCGCACTTTTATTTAGCTCCTGTGTGCTTTATTACAGTTTTTGAAACATTAAATGCGTCAATTTATGTCCTGTTTTGGTGCTTTTGTAAAACCAATAAACAATACGTTAACAGTAAACATTTGTTTATGTTTTGGCTTATGGTGCCGATACCATGGTGGGCCTTTGATGTCAATTCAACATCAGTATCACATCAAAATCCAGTCTTCAACATAACATTGATGTCAAAATGATGTCACATGTCCGCTGGGTTATAACTTAGCTTAATAGTGATTATGTGGTATGTATTCATGTCTATACTTAATTACAACCATACTGCTTTTGTCTTGATTTTGCACAGACCTTGAGTTTGACTTGAGATTGCAGAGACGGAAGAGTGAATACTATGTGCCTACGTTCCCACTTGGGCGTAACTTGTTAGTATTCACTTCCTGTTCCTGAACATTCCCTGATCTGCATATTTGACCTACATGGAATAATCTTTCCACACAATTGATAGGAAATACAATGAACAACAGTAAACTGTAAAGTAAGATGCAGTGCACGTAGTTATCTTAAAATAATATATAAGGATACAATACAAAGACATAAAATTGTGGCATAATAATAATTATTTTGAGGAAAACATGCCTCAAAATTTAAATTAAATTGAACATTCAGAAAATGGCTCGAGATTTCAACTCAGCTGGCATTTCTATAACTTGGTAACCAACTCACGGAGCCCATTGAGTCGCGGGGTATCTACGCCGCTGTATTTCCAATACAGTACAACCTTGACCCATTTGTAATCAGTTTAACTCGCAAATGATGTATCCATAATTGCACGCAATTATAGCAATTACGCTCAATTAGAGAATCAAGTCTCTGGCAGCATCTCCCACACCATCACCAGTCCGCTTTCACCCGCATGAATCACGTAATGTTTCCACGTCTTATGCGCCACGCAGGGTTCAAACAATGACCTACCTGTAGGCTCCCATCTCCTCTCCCTCCTCGCGTTTTAAGAATGGGAAGCACATTTCCCCTTTAAACAAGATGGGCTGGTTCCCCCCAACCACCACCACCCCGCGCTCCTATGGCAACACAACCAGATCATGCATATTCACACGTTCACCTAAACACTCCTCGGCAGCGCTGGATGGATTGGGGTGATGTCAACGCATGAGCCCCGTGGAACGCCGTGTGCACGTTTCCCATCACGATTGTCGCCTTCACGTCGCCTCGGCGAGAGGATCGAGCCTTCTGATGACCCTTCCATTCTGCCTGCCCACCTCCTCCTCCATCCGCCGGCGCGTCTCTCACATGTCAGGCAAAGGTGACTTTCAGGCAGTTTCCCCCCCACTTCTGCGCGCCATGCAGGCGGAGAGGCGTAAAGATGTGCGAGGTGGCCGTGCGGACCGCCCAGGCTGTGCGTGAGGAGGACGCACGCGAGCTGTCAGGTATAGTCAAGTCGTCATTTCAAGGGAGCCAAAAAATGTGCAGTTTATTTTATTAAGAGCCACTATCACAGTCCTCGGAAGCGGCAAGGCGAGTGTGTCATGTGTTGCAGGCTTTCAGGGATCGCTCGCAAGGAGATCAGAAGCACCACGCGGTGCTGCTCAGTTTGCCCTACAAATCTAGATTTGGTCAATTTTTGCTCCATGACATAATGGACAGGTTGCATTCGTCCATGCGTAAACGGCTCTACAGTTTGCCCCAGCACATTGGACACAAAACGTCCATCATGGGCGAAGGAGAAGACGCGGACAAGGACACGCGCAGGAAGAGCATTCGGATGAAGCCGCTGCCGTCACCCACCTCCGTGGGAAGCTGCAGAGGCATCGGGGAGACCAAAAGCGGCGAGTCGCTCATCATGGAGACCGACATCGGGAGACCGATGAAGACCAGCTCCAACGGAGACTGTCGGAGGTTCCGGGGCAGCCTCTCGTCCATCACCAGCCGCCATGTGCACGACTCGGACTCGGCGGAGGAGAGGCGACTCATTACTGAGGGGGACGTCACCCCGAGCGAGGAGAGCCCCCCGGGAGCGATCGGCGAGAGCGCCCCGGAGCAAGGCGCGCAAGGGGCCGGCGGAGGTGGCGCGTCCGCCGGCAACGGCGAGAGCGCACCTCCGAGCGAGTCCCAAGCAGACGCCCAGTCCGGGTTCATAAAGTTGGATGGAATCGAACAGATCTTGCCTGACGACGAGCGCTTGTACCAGGCCGGCTTCATGCACCGTCAGTTCGGGGCTATGCTCCAGCCGGGGGTCAACAAGTTCTCCCTGAGGATGTTTGGAAGCGAGAAGGCGGTGGAGCGGGAACAGGAGCGGGTTAAATCTGCCGGATTTTGGATTATTCACCCCTACAGTGATTTCAGGTAAACAAAATAGTATACTGTAGTATGCTATCTTGCTGTTTTGATGCCTTTAGATCATCAATCCTTATTCTGAGCAGGGGCTATTTGTTCTCATTCAAGTGCTATAATATATGAAAAATTATGCTTACAAATATTTCACGTTTTATACAATATTACACCACGCATTTTTGGACGAGTGGCATTTGCCTCACAGTTCTGAGGTTGAATCCAGGCTGTGGCCTTCCAGTGTTGAGTTTGAATGTTTCCTGCAGGATTTTCTCTCAGTGCTCGGGCTCTTCTTCAGAAAACGAAGTGGGTTAATTGATGACTAAATTGTCCATAGGTGTAAATATGCATATAGTATGGCAATATGTCGAGGGTGTGCCCGACCTCTTAAACAAAATTAGCTGGCATATCCAGTTCACCCGCAACCGAGATTGTGAAAGCGCTATATAAATAAATAACTAAATATGTATTGTATTGCATTGTGTTTTATAATCAGAATAACCACTAGAGAAATTGGATCCATGTATTTTTATTCTTTTGTTCTTCTGAGGTTTTATTTGCTTTTATATAGATTGTCATATTGGATCAAATACTCTCACTGGCCATATATGGCCCAGTCGTCAGAGGTTTTCCACCAGTGGCCAATACACACAGCTTCTCTCATGTATGTGCAATTGGAAGCTTATTGTTTGTTTCTACCTGATGGTTAATTCTTGTCACATTCGATATTGCCACAAAACCTACGTGACATTTTATTTTGAAAAGAAGTCAAATAAACTATACGTACGTTGAATTATAAGACACATTGTGTTAGGATCAGCTGAGGCAGTCTTCTTTTTATCTTCTGCAGATTCCTTAGTGCCCTTGAGTTTGTTATTGGCCATATGCATCTTGATTCATGGCCACATGAAGCCTGTGAACAGCATGGCGAGACTGGCTTTAAAGGTCCCTTTTACTCGTGCTTGTAAGGCTTTTGTAATGCAACTATTTGTGCTTGAACATCATCTGAGCCCTTTATAGAAGGCACCAAGGGATATATGGGCTTATTTATTGGCAAAAGAAAAAAAAAAGTGACCGTGAACTCAAAATAAAAAGTGTCCATATAGCTTGATAGGAAATTATGAAAATGTTTTTTTTTTTTCTTCGTCTTCTTTCCACCAGCTCATTTCCTGTAGCTCGGTAATTAAGGAGGGAAATATTTAATTACAGCCAGTGTCAGACTTAGTTCACCGGTGCAGCTATTCACTGGAGCTACATTGTGACTCTTGCACATTTCCCCCTTTCACATTGAATGTTTTCTTATTAGGACGTGATTGGCAATGCCAAACCCTATCATACCATCATATACGTATCAAAGGGTTTGTAACGAGATGTCTGACTGTGAGAGATGAGCACACACATTATAGTGTGAGTTTGGTGAAGTTTAAAAAAAAGGAAAAATAAGACGTGTCTGGGAATTGGAAACAAGACAGCTTCCTCTTTATCCCCAACAGTGAATGAAGCAATTTTTTTACATGATCAGTGACGTCCTGGGTAGGTTTGATTTTGATTGAAGTGTGATTTCCCTTGTCAGCGAGTGGAGAAAAAAAAAATATGGCTTGGCAATTGGACAAATGTGGGACAGGTGACCAGAGAGAAAGTGTGAAGTCCAGCCATCCGTTACTGCCTCGGCTGATTCGTGTGCAAGGTCACAATGTGGTGGTGGGGATGGAGTGTTTCCCAGTTGACGTTTGGGAAGGAGGTGGGATACACCTTGGACATGCCACCAGTCCAGTCTTTCCATAGGTGTGACACACAAGACACCCACAACCATTGGGTTGTAGAATTTCCATTCAACTAAATGAGCATCTTTTGGTGTTGTGAGAGGGCGAGAGCTCCCACTCCAAAGACGGTTGACTGAAAAGTGGGATGGTTGTGAATATTTCATGATGCTTTAGAACCGGAAACGAAACATTAGAAAATGTTCATCAAACTGCAGTATACCATTTCGTGGAAACAAGCCCCTGTGAAATTGTCACACTTCAGCATATCTCGCCATTATTTATGATTGTATATTTCTAGTATGGCTGAAAGAAATCATTGAGTAATTCAGGTGTCTCGAAGGTAGAAGGTGGAAGTTCAACTAATGTAGATGGCTGCGCCCATGTTTGCTGTGCCTGCTTTTGTCTCCCGATAGTTACGCCATGTTAAAACTAAACACGGCATCAAAACCAGTGGAATCCATTCGAACTTTAGCAAAACATCTTTAAACCTGTCAATGACCGCTAGTTGATTTTATCAATGGTTGGAACCGGCGGTTCTGGGTCAGTCAACACACAAGTCGGATCCATTCTATTCATTCAAGTTTGGCCTAAGAAGCAGTGACATATACGTCATGGACTCACAATCCCGCCGACTCACCGTAGCAAGAGGTGACGTCACCGGCGGACATCTTGCGTAGCCACGTATGAAGTGCGCCCAACTTAAATACATTGATTTCTCTGCGGTGTTTTATATTATTATCTGTCTCCATGGTGAAAATGGCAGTTGATGAGGGAGCCCTCTGCCCCTTGAATACTGCTGAGTTGCGGCTGTCTGGGTGCAGCCCCATGTGGCAAGGGTGAGGGTTGGGTATTCCTCCCACACCTCCTTTGGGTACCTTGGCGGTATCTCCGAATGCTACTCATATATTCGTGTCCCTCATGTTGTCAGAATAATCAACAATGAAATGAAAGCGAAGCCTATCAGCACAAAATTCTCTGTGAAATGTAAAGCGAACCTCCTGAAGTCATGATTCATGATACTGAGATCATTTGAATGGTCCGTGCGAACAATGAAGTTCGTTCTTTGAGAGGCTCTCACGACTGCATATAAGGATCTTGGCCTAAAACACGTAATAGCAGTTTTTTAATCAAAAAAACGAATAGAAGACGTCAGTAACGGTGGCAGTGTAAGATGGTGGCAATCTTCAGATGCTTTTAAAGTGTTTTGTGAACATTGTGTGTTTATGGATTAAACAATAAACATTTCTAATCACTTTTAGGGGAAAGCCCAATATTCATGAAAATTTGCTATTCCTGCTCAGCTCGGTCGCCATCCTCCACGAATAGCGGGCGTCTCCTGTAATTTGAACTGGTCATAGTTACACGGAGGCCGTTATGGTTGTGCTCCTTCCTTGCCGTTTGACCCCCTTGCTCTATCCAGCTCTCTTGCTCTCTTACTCACTGTGTTAAATGTCACCAGAGAGGGTGATTTGGGGCTCGGGGAGAACGTCCTCAAACCAAAAGGTCAGAGGTTTGGCTCCGGCCCTCGGTTTTGAAATGTCTTTTTGAGCGGGGATGCAGAAATAGGCTGCGGCACTGCTCTAGCTGCATGCAGATGATGCACGTGTGACTCTCTGAGCGAGATGTAGAGATTAAATCACATGAGAGAGGCGATGCTCTGAAAAAAAAATGAGGTTAACCAACCCACAGACTGGGGTCTGAGGGAGGATAATGGGGTCTGCGATTGGCTGTCGAACAGTCGAGGATGTCACCCAAACACACACACACACACACAAAATGGACATTGGAGACACCACTGTATAATTCTAACTATGGCTGTGAAGCCCAATCAAGCGAACTAAAAATGTATCGTGCGCCTCTATCCCCTCTCTGCATGTTTTTTTTTTTTCTGCTGCGAACGGGGACCGTACGAGGCACACCACTTTTAATGCACCATTTCACGAGTAAATGAAACTATAATGCACCATAACCATGCTACCTCTCAGAGGAAGTCAGTGCCATTAGTCGTTCGTCAGCATTAAACTAAAAGTATTTTTCAGAAATAATAGCAAAGTTAGACGGGAGGGGGGGAATTGCGTGCCATGTCAGGGAGATGACACCGCACGTCGAGACGACTTTCAGCTTGTATTTGAGTTTTAATGCGCTGAGGGGGAAACGCTACTTTGGACACCTACATTCTCCAAAATCAGGATGAGCACAGGACAAGATGAGTCTAATTAAACTACACAGGGATCTGAGTGGGACCTTTTTAATGGGGCCGCAGAAGAGAAGGGTCGCCGTGACTAAAAGTTTGATTCCCATGTCTGCTTCAAAGCTTTAGCGCTATAAGCTCAAATTAGAGTGTCACAAGGAATCACGTAGTCGTCACTGCGCCAGAATTCGGCAGAAATCTTCCCGTGTCAAGTATTGTGTAACGCTAAGAAGCGGGGAGGAGCGATATCCAGCCAAGGAAAAAGACGGATTAAAAATGGCATCATAATCCAATCTACACCCTCATTTTCTACATCCAAAGCCCAGTGGCCGCCTTCCGTTCTGAACAAGCATCTTTCAAGCGAGGAGATGCGGTCAGCGACATGGTGACACTGAGCACCCAATGAAAGAGATTCTTTTAAATGAGGAAGCCTTTTAAAACCAGATGGACCATAAATATCTGCCGATTGGAGCTGCATGTACTGTTTCCTCTGCATCTCTGCATGAGCCCTGCTAATATTTATCAGTTCTATGCCCTTGATCATAAATATTGACAATTAAGACAATGGAAACTTTGAGGTTTCGAGATGCTGTTGGGCGTTTGATCTGTTAAAATTGGAATTGATTAGATTTATTTTTTAATCCACATAACTGAGAAGTTCAGTCATATGCATGTAAAAGGACAACAAGAAACTCATGGCATCATCCCGTCCCAATTTGAGCCATAACCATCTCAAATAGAATCGTAATCCCTATTCATCGAACCAATAAAATCAAAGCGTATTGCATCGTTCCACTTTAAAATCAAACCGTCTTTGAAGCGTATCGCACCCAATATATCGACATAAATATCGAATTGACTTTTATTGGAGAGATGCATACCCCATCATCGAATCCACCAGTCACATATATAATGTGTGTATTGCACGAGGACCGACTGTGCATGTCACACTTTTAACGAGTCTATCTGCTATGTTCTGTGCAACCAAACCAGAGATCAACAAATCAATCTAACTGTATACTACTCATCCTGCTAATTTAAAAACAAATGTACATATATTT